GACTAAGCTTTTGGCTTAACTCTGATACTACTTCTGATGTCTGCATCTTTGATTTCTCTTTTTATTCATAAATACCATCACAACACTAGGAATATATTATCACACTACCTCTCTAATTTAAGTGTTTTGAGCAGCTAGATTAGAGATCTCTACCTTACACTGAATGCCAGTTAGCTGTTTTACTAGCACATCAATTTTTGTGATCAATACAGGAGTATTTCTTGCTGTTGCAATGTTCATCATGCTTTAATTTACATCTACACATTAGCACTGGAACAGGCTGCCCAGGGAGTTTGTGGAGTCAGCAGGAGGGTTGGACTAGATGACCCACACAGGTCCCTTCCAACCCCTACTATTCTGTGATTCTGTGATTTCCCTAACAGCAATTAAAACAGGAAAGAAATTTGTAGCAAGAGGATACAAGGCTAGGATAAGAGTAGAGGCTCCAAGTGTATAAACAGAAATCACAAATGGTCAACTACCGGTAAACATGAATTCACGCATAATGAGAGCATGTTCTGTAGGGTGCTTAGGGCTCTGCACATCAGCCAATACCTGGCAAGTTATCATGGTACCAAACATTGTGCGAAAGTCTGTCCTCAGTCAGACCAGACAGGAAGGGAAAGGGAGCTGCAAGAAAAGTATGGTGTAGTGCGATCACAGCTGCTCTGTAGGTCATTCATTCAGAACGATGTAGAAGTGGTCACTGAGACTGATTTTTCTTGCCTGTCAAATATGTCATCAAACTTATTGTATAGTACCCTAGAACCTAGCCTTCTAGCATATTTACATATTTCTTGCCTACTACAACATAGTGGCACAGCTCAGGAGAATGAAAAGTTTTCCAGCATCTTTAAAAAATATGAAGCTGATCCAAATAAGGACAACGTCAACAACTATGAACTACAGGTAAAATACAGAAATAGAAGAAGGCGATCCAAAAATTAGCTAATATGCAAATCACACAGAAAGCAGCAATTTTTTTTCAAGTCTATCAGGATCAGGTAGTATTCTATAAATGGAATTCTATACTGCATCACCTCAATAGAAACAGAGCAGAACTGGAAAAGGTACCGAGAAGGATGACAAGAATGATTAAAGGTATGAAATATCTTCTGCTTTACATATCCATGCCATAAATATGGTGAATAGCAAAAAATTCATTACTGTTTCTTCCTCCATTAGAGCACATGAAGTGAGAACAGCAGGTGCCAAGATCAGAGCAGAGAAACAGAGAAACATCTTCACATATTACATAAATAAATTGCACAACATATTGCACAAAACTTTGTGGATTTAAAGCATTCATATGGGTTTACAATGGGACTGGATAAATCCATTGAAGAAATAGCCCTACAAGATTCAAAATACAAAGAAGATTGCTACCTTAAGAGTGGCTTAGCTATAGATGGGTGGAGGCCTTAATTAACTGCATGCTTGCAATCATCTTCTGTTCTTCACTAGAAAATCATTATCAGCCAGTGCCAGAGATGGGACATTGGGTCTCTGGTCTAGTATATGGCATTTCTGGTCTGATCCAGATATATGTATTTCTCCCCTTCAGGCACTTAGGTTTTCAGAGTGTAACATGAGTACTTTCACATATTTATCTAATAGTAAACACTATAAACATGGCAATTAAGCCCACAACTTTGAAGTGATCTACCAATATTTCATATGATCTAGAAGAAATATTGATAAAATTAAGCTAGAGTGTTATCACAAAATAGGAATTCAATTCAATGTTTATCTTCACAGTAATAAATCATGTAGACAGACAGAGGTATTGGGGAGGCTGGGATAAGAATAAAAAAAGGAATTCTATTTTCCAGAAGGGAAATTTAAATCTATTTAAAGATACAACTCATCTCAAGAAAGGAGATCAGTTGCATCCCAAGTTATCTAAGGAAACTCCTTGTGGTGGTGCAATCCCCCCCTCACAACTGCTGATTCTGAAACCAGCCAGCATTGTGTTCTTGCTTACCCTACAAGAACAGCTAGCTGGCACGACTGGTCACACCTGGCGCCTCAAAATTAGCCAGCATTGTATTCTTGCTTACAATGCAAGAATGGCTAGCTAGTTTGACTAGCCATTTTTCATGTGCTTGAAAACATCGGGATTACATCTTGTGGATCATGACCAGGGTGGAAGAATACTGATGCCTCAAGTCAATCATCTTGAGACCCTAAAAACAGCTGTACCAAGGAAGGCCCTTTGAGCTCTTTGGGTCCACAGTGGGCTGCACCCAGTAACTCCCTCTGAGGCAAATGTTTCTCAGAGTATCTCCAACTCTGTCTGCACGACCCGGGCTGATCTCCTTGAGACTCAGCCTTCGCCCAGTGAGAAATGATTTGATTTGAACAGAGTATTTCACTGAACTCAAGGGGATTTTTTGTGTGTGTGAGTGTGTGAATTGATTCAACCTAATATTCGATTACTGTGATTGTAACAGCAAATTCTCCTTAATCACTTAGTTAAATGTTAAGTTAATCAGTGATTAATAACCACTAACTTCCTGTGATTCTCTCTCTCTTTAAACTGTGAACACACAAACATGTTCCTTAGACATAAACCGTTGTGGTCTAAGGTCAGTTCTGGATCCAGCCGCACCTAGGCTTCTCTCTGAGGAGAAGTTTAGAAAGCTAGTGGGTCCATTACGAACCTGGTGACTCAACAGGAGGGTCTCCCTATCCCCTCATACTTTCTTACACTTTGTATAAATCATTTTCCAAACAAATCCCTTTTGACTTTGCATTTCATTTATTTAATAAGTAATAGAGTGAACCTTGCCAGCAAACTCTGTAAGCTCACATTTTCTAAATTTTCAGTAAAATCATTTCTTGCAAAAACCTTTGAGTGATCATTTGAGTGACCTAGCCACTCATTCGTGACACTCATCTCTCATGTCTGTTCAAAATAACTGTGCCAGAATCTTTACTCTGATGCCTCCAGTTCCATTGTCTTCTGTCTCTGAATCACTCCAATGGCTTTTTTTTTGTTATCATTTCATTTGATGTCCTCCCTATAACAAAGTTCTGCTGTATTCATATTAAAAGAATACTGGACTGAAAGACATCAACAGGTGGTAATCTACTCCTCAACTGGAAGTCTATTATTTAATCCTTGTCATGAAAAAAACATGCGCAGTAAAGATGCACCTAATAATCAGTTAGGAACAACTTCTAAAATAGTAATATTGTGGTGTAATAACTACAGGGTAGTTCAGAAAAACTATAAATCATAAATACAAGAAAGGGAAGAAAATCACGAAGTCTGCATAGTCTGTGAGGGAAGTACAGAGCTGCTAGTATTCATCTACAATGTCTCAAAGAACTGTAGAGGAACAAGTATTGCTGCCATGGGGAGAAAGCCACTAGTTTCCACAGCATCCATAAGAATTGTTGGAAAAAACTACTCCCCTGTGCTTAACAGATTTCTAATCATTATAAGAATCTCCTCATATCTCTGTAGTTTTTACAATAATTGTTCGGTTTATTTTAGGCTTTCATTTCTTATTTACTCTCTAATTGACACAGTCAAGTTACTGCTGTTACTGTTAACTTAAAATTGAAAGCTGGATTTGCAGTACAGTCATCTTCTTAAAAAATGCCAGTTGAAAAAAAACCCTAAATCTCAATAAGTATTGAGTTATTGGATTAAGAATTATACAGAAATACACAGTTATAGAATTATACAGAAATACACTCATTACTTTTGTATATTTTATGGTGAGGGTCCTGAAATCAATACCAAATCTTTTCCATCCAAAACTGGGACATGAAGTCCCTGTCTTTCAATCTATGACAGACCCCAGATTGTTGTATGCACAAGTTAAGAAAGGGGAGGAGTAAAACATTACTCAGGCATGGGTAGTCATATGGACAAATTACTTACAGATGCATCAAATATATTATGGCAGCAGGAAACTAAGGAAGCTTGTATTATGAATACTTTATTAATTTTTAAATCATGCAAATTAAGAACCAGGATAACAGGAAGGAAGGTACACATACAGCTAACAATAAAGTGTCACAATAATTGCTGTACTTCCAGTGTTACCTGTTTTGCACATGGATGTTGTTATCTCATGATATGGAAGATGCTCTATCCGTAATTACATATTATAGATCAAAGTTAATCCCAGTTATTATGTTACGAACATGAGAACTTCTGATCACTTTTTACTTCCTTAAATTTTCAGTGATGGTATGTCATCAGTAACACTTTTTTTCCCCACAAATTTGAGGTATTTCAGGACAAAATTCTACAGATGCTTTCTCAATCACTTTTTCAACATTTCAAAATCTTTTTGCGTTCCACTATTTAACAAACAAAACCAAAATGAAGAAAAAATAACCAAAAGAATCTGTTGAAAAACACAGTTTGGAGGACTGAGTATAAATTTCCAAGATACACTTGTTTTCCTTAAAGATAAGCAAATTGCGTACGAATGCACACCTAAATATTATTCATAATACATTTTTAAATAAGTTGTTTGAAATAATGTCATTATAATCAGTATGAAGAATTGAAAGATTTTTAGTGCTTCCATGAATTTAAATTTGCCACATATTTTATCAGAACACATTTTTCATGTGACTTTGTCTCACAATATAACCATATTTGTGAAAGCAAAGAGAATTTCTTTTGTTTTGAAAGCTTAATTTAAATACATATTTTTAAAACTCTTCAGGGGTGAACAGAAATCTTTGCTTTGCTATGAAACAATGTTAAATAATTTAAATGAATTTTAAAAATCAATGTTTCACTAATGGTGTAGTTAAATATTTAAAGCCACTTGTCTTTTGATCTAAAGAACTGAATGCCTGTGCAAAAATTTTAGGGACCAATTTGAAAACATGTGCACTTCCTAGATATTGAAGAAATAAATGGAAACTTTTCTATTAAAACATTAATGAAAATACATGATGCTTAATGTATAGGAAGATAAAAAAGGATGCATACTAATGATATGCAGATCATGTAAGCATATATTTACCTTCACAAAATGGAGAGGATCCTTCAAACTGCAACCGTGCACTCAGTTTGCAGGTTAATATATCTTGTCCAACAAGGGTGAAACCAGGATTGCATCTGTACTTCGCAAAATCTCCTGAAAAAGTTATTGACAAAAAACTTAAATCCAAACCATGCCTCATACAGAATTATACCAAAATCTCAGGTGGAAGATGGAATACATTAGTAGTTTAGTTTAATTAGAATTCAAGTGGAAACATAAGAAAGAAAAGGAGATAATATTTTTTTCACCTATTTCAAAGTCATCATCTTCTATAAACAAATCTGCATGTGGAACTGTGGGTGGAGGCTGGCACTTCTTCAGCTGATATGCTGCAAATTCAAGTGAAAAAAAGATTAAATACAGGTGAGTTAAGAATTATCTCACAGAAAATTCATTTCCTATTCACACTTCCCAAATAACCAAAGCTGCACTGAACCTCACTGTCTCTCAGTTACATTTTCCAAGTTAAATGTCATGACATTATGTATTATCTTAAAAAAACAGATTTTTTGGTCACTATAGATAGTGCATTGCACTACCTAGATGGTTATAGATCCGTTGTAGGATTGGATGCAGTTGTGATGTTTGTGAGGAGATTTTTTTCAGCTACAAGGCTGCTGTTTCATGTGGCTGCCTTTGCATCATGTGATAAAACATATTAAAATATGATATAAATCACATTAGTTAGATTTCCTGGAAAGTCTGTAATTACTGGTCACATACCTGGCATATCTTATTCATTCTTAATTTCAGCATGCTTGCAGTTCATCTTTCTCAGGATACAAGTACATATATTTACTTTCAGTAGAAACAGCAGTAATAATAACATAATTTTATGAGTTACACAAAAAAAACCAAAACACAATGCCTTTAAAACAAAATCTCGTCTCTACTCTTCAATTCAGTTTCAATAAATTGTGCGCAATGTCATAATGAAGGTGACCAGTACTCTGACTGACTTGTTTCTAAAATGAAGTAGAATGCCTACAACAGCAGAGGAAGACATTTATGCAGAAAAAATCCAAACCAGAGATTAAAGATTGTGATCAGAGTGCACAAAGCATAGAAAAACTCTTCTCTTCATGGAAGTAGATAACAGTGAATACAAAAATTCCTGGTAACTTGATAGACCTATCCACTTGTCATTTCTGAGGAGTTAAAAAAACACAAAATATTGTGGCCTGTGTCACTGCTTTGAATTCAATTAAATGGATAGACACTGTTCACATTGTACATGATTTCCACCAATGGAACATTATGCAAAATAAAGCAACAGTGCAGAGAAAAATAAGTAGATTCATTTTTTTTTCCCTTGCTAGACTAATGCACTACAAATTGTAATAGAGTATGAATCTCGTCTTTTTGTCATCCAAAGTCATCAACCCTGAAATACTGACTACATGCTTATATACCCTCAGCTTAGGGCTTGAAAATGCTGTCACTGAACATTCCCTGCAGTCTGCTTTTCAGGCACTAGCTTGTTATGTGGGAGCTAAATGTTCCCTGCATGACGACTAAAGCCAAGTACTTTAGTTTTTGATTCTCAGATAAGTGCTGTAGGTTACCACACCTTGTTATCACATCCTTGTTTTAGGAGAAATCCACAGACAAGAAAAAATTTCAGACTCATAAAGCCTTCCCCAATCAAATAGATATCTTCAGGTACTCTCTTTCTGTGGCATTTCCTCCTGTCCTTGCAAATTAATTTACCCTATCTTTTTGAATTACAATCCAGAAGGCTAACAATCTTCTGTTTAATATACATAATTTGGGTGAAATAGTCAGACTTAGAACTAGAACTAGCATTCAGCATTTCAATTCTGAGTTTGATACCTAACTTTCATGTCCTGTAGTCCTGACTGTAACTATGAACAAAGTATTTTGCTGGATATCAGTCTTAAAGCTGTTCTTCGATCCTCCCACAGCATCCCATCAGTCTTTCTGACCATAAGCCCTAGCATGGTCAGCTGGTGAAAAATTTTATTACAGAAGGTTAAAAGTAAGTTAACTAATAAACAGGCCAAAATAATTCAAATAAAAGCGCAATATTAGACAGTGATGATTAACGCTAAAGATAGAATGTAGTTTATTCAAAGACACAAATGAACATTCTTAAGATTTTTTTAATGCATGACTTCAAAAACTAATTCGTACTGTTATTTAAAAAAATTAACAAATCCATGAATCGCGTAAATTTCTTTATGATCATTCAGTACATCACAAACTTAATAAATATTTTTAGAATTCATTGATTGTGGTAATTAGGTGTTAGTGACATAAAGCAAACTGACCATGAAAATTCAGGACAAAGAATCCTCCTGTTGAAAAATCACTGTGAAATTTGAGAAGGACTTGATTGGTGGAACTGTAAGCTGTTTCCAGAGCTGTGTTCCCACTGAAAACTCCCAGCTGAGGCGAATTATGGTCAGGACCATCCCTAAGAAGGGAAACATAAAAAATTAGCTGAAAAAATACCGTACTTAATATTAAAATTAACAGTCTCTTTTCTCTGGAAAGTAGGTTAAATTTTTTTTTAAAATATTTTTCCTAATGATTCAGAATGAGTTTGTTATTTCTGGCAACACAGAATACTCTTTCTAACTTCAAAGCCTAGTATTTTTTGAGACCAAGAGTACTTTACAATAGCTCTTATATTTACACGGGCAAGAAATTTATTTGCTGATTGAAATTTTCTCTGCTATTCCTGCCAAAAATCTCATGTACAAATAAGTTGATAAAAAAAACCAAACTAGAAAACTCTCGTAATCTCACCATATTTCTAATATTTTTGACTGAGATCCTACAAGTCCTTACTCATGACTAACACATACAGAGGTGTAGAAGTTGCAAGTTACACTTGTGATTTAAATTCATTCCAAAGACTCAAAGGTATCTCCTAAGGCAAAAAAAAAATAAAAGGGGGGGGACACAAAAAAAAAATGTTTCACGTTTGTGAACAGTAGGATAGACACCCAAACAGAAATATACTCCAGTAACACCAGGCTGCACTAATTTTCAGTCTCCTCATGTAGAACATTCAGGCCTGAACAGGCCCCATGCTTTTATCACTTAAGTACTTTTTAAGCTCTGCAACACTTCTTTCTGGTCTTTTTGTATATTACATGTAATGAATCTAAATTGAATAAAAAAGCTTTTGTGGTATGTATTTCAGAAGGCTAGAGATTATCTAGAAGCTCTCTGAAAGCTGTAGCTTTTGACTTTTCACTGTCTTTGAATCAGAGGGATATTTGTTCACCTCAGTTGTATTAATAAAAAGCCAAGCATTAACTAATTTTTGTCTGTCTCAAACCTATGAAGACAATTTGTTCATAAAAGAAAATTCCACCATATAGACTAACTCTGGTTCAAGTTTAAAAGAATGTATGCCATGTAGATAAATTGTACGTAGAACTTGTACTTTTAAAAATGAAAATTAAATTAATTATTTTTCTCTTATGCAGTTTTTCAAGATTATTCAGGCTTCCAATTTCTACTCTGGTATTAGTGACAACAAGAAAAAATAAAATGTAGGTGACTTGACATAAAAGTGTATTTTCTTCTTCCTGTTGCCTTGAAAACAAGAACGAAAGTAATGAATATTGAATAGGAACTTGATAATTTACTTAGATTTTAATTTTAAAAGTCCGAATCCAGGTGGCAGGGGGAGAAGAAAGAAATGAATGCTTTGATGTTAAGAACTGACTTTTCACACAGAAGTGAAAGGCATATACATACATGACTTAAAATTATACTAAACTGCCTCCTACCAGCAAATTCATGAGCTACCCATTGCTGATACCTCAGAAAATAAGTCTAAAGAAAGCGTAATTGCAATTCATCAGCAATTGGGAACTGAGAGAAGTAAGCTGTAAAACAGTTGCTTTATAATCTTTATTGAAAGAATGTAACAATTCAGGAATTCAGCACATACTTCAGCCAAACCAGTTCAAAAAGCTGACACAATTTTAGGACTTAATAGCTTAGGTAAAAAAAGAAGTCATTGGCACAGTTAGATCTTTACCAGTGAAGGGTTGTTTTTTTTTTTATTTACCATGCTTGAGAGGACAACCTACGATGCATTTTAGACTTTAATTAAAGTAATGAAATATCAGAGGTAACTAAACAGCAGTTCATAAATAGTTATGCATGTCTATGAGCTGACTGGACTTTCCCTGTATTATATGGAAAAGTGCCCTTTTGCTGAATTATCTGTAGCGTATATGAGAGATAAGTCGCTTTGCACATTCTGTGGGATAAGGACCAGGGTTAGCTTTAGATGAGAAAGTACGTAATAACTTTAGCATCATCTGTGCCTGCTTTTCTGTGCAGTAAATTCTTCTGCAAGAATTCAGACAGCCCTGAGACCTCTTCCTCCAGCTGAGGACACAAAGTTGAGATGGGTTTGGGGGTTAAAAAATACAAGGACAGGGAAGAGGAACATACAATATGAAGCTTAAAGACATAGAGGTACAAGGTCTGAAAACTTGGCTTGAGAAATGTAGAGCATATGTCTATCACCTATATTAAGATATTAAGAAAATTTAAGAAAATATTAATGCCTAAATTAGTTAATGCCTAAAGATGTCAAAAGGTTTTGCCACAACTAACATATACTGCCTCATATGTTCATTGAATACATAATTCAACATAATGCAGATTGTTACATCACTGACCTCACATGGCTTCACTTAGAAAACAGAGCTCAGAGTAGATAACTCAGTTTCAGGTTCAAAGTACTTTTGGAACAATATTCTTAAAGAGTTCAGACAGTGATATATAGTAATTTTTTCATATAATCACAGAGCTTGTTTTATGCTGTTCTTCAGCACATATGACAACCTCAAGAGCAACACAAAGCAAAAGTTGTAGCTTGGGACAGTGAGATCTAATAAATAAATCAGAAAAAAATCACTTCTGTTTTGAAAAACTGCATACCAAACTGCAATGTAGTCATTCACAGGTTCAGTTTGGAGTAAAGTAAAGTTGATATAAATCCCATGGCCTGGAGGTACAGTAATTAACCAAGTACAGTCCTTGGAATTTGGGTATTCATCTGGAAATCCTGGGGAATAAACTGTACCATTCTGAGCAGTTACATTATAGCCACAAGGAGCTGAAAAGAAAACAAATGAAAAATTAGTAAGAGAAACATACTTTTTCATGTTACAAACAGCATCAGAATGAATCCAAATTCTAAAAGCTCCACAGGACAAGACAATCTAGGTCTTAAAGACAGCATTTTTCCTTTCTGGATTGCTTCTCAGAGACAGAAAGTATTGACATTTCTAAGATGTAATTTATCCTGATATCTTTCAGATTTCATTTTTTAGAATCCATCAAAATCTACTGGGAATATTGCTTTTATACAGAATTGTTGAAATTAACCTATCACACATTTAAAAAGGGGCACTTTTTGCTTGCGTTCAAGATTAAGAAATAAATAAACAAGCAAATAAAGCTTGCATGTTAACATACAACTGAACCCTAACTGAACTGGAACATAATTCAGAGGAAGAAAAAAAAAGGCTCATTGTTCTTTTAACATCCCATATAAGATTACACTGTTTCTGACAGTTTTTAGCCATGTTTTATGGTACTTCAGTTGCAGTTTTTTATGCTGATTATTCTTATGATGAGTGAAATTAAGATAGAGACACAAATTATCATACACTTGCTGAATAAAATCTGTCGGCAAATCAAAGCCATGAAAAGGTGGCTGATTTAATTCAAGGAGTGCAAATATGTAATAATGTGCTCTTTTTTGAGTCTCAGTGTGGGTGAATTGACTGATTACAGATGCAAGCACTGATCAGAGTAGATATACAGCCATTAGGGCAAACTAATGGGTCTCACTCAGTAGGCACATCAATCTCATCTGTAGGCACTCAGTCTAGCTCTGGCTAGTTGATGAGTAATCCTTTTTGGAGAAATCCTTTTAATAATCACTGGATTTATAGGACGGATTAAGGAGGCTTTAACCATCTCACTTTTGTCATCCATATCAGTACTAGCTAGTACGGTGCATTTAGCACATCTTCCCATCTTAGAACAGAATGGCATCTGCTCCTGAACTACAACCCTTTAGTGCTCAACAAAAGAGACGAGCTAAGAAAAATGAAGGGTTGGTTCTATCTGTCTGATTCCTGGTTGCATGTACAGGCCAAGCGCGTCTGGCAGTCTCTAAGCAGCTTTTTTGGTTCTATGATCAAAATGTGACTGAAGTCCATTTTTTACTGCTCCCTAATCCCCAACATTTACACCATGCTCAGATTGCCTAGTCTCAGAAGCCTAGTCTGTTCTCTCCACAGTACTCCATGTTTACACTAAAAGACTGCTTTGACAAGTATGCTTACTACACTGAAGTACACTTCCGGACTCTAATATAGCGACAAGTGGAAAATCCTTTTAGTTCTAGTTAAGATATAGGATTTCTCTGATAGAAGTTTTATACTTCAATATATTTTATTATATTTTTGAAAGATTTACTAATGTTGTCAACTATTGCATACATTTTTTATTTTGCTTCCATTATTCTCTAATACTCTACAAAGAATACAGGTTGATGATATCTCAGTAAAGATAGTCTAATTCCTCTTACATCCTTGTTAGCCATGACAAATCAATAAATTGTCTCAGAAAAAAAACTGTCACAGGTAACAAAACTCTAATAGACTAAGCACTACACACAGCTGATACTTAGCTTTCTCCAAAGGTCCTTAAAAATCACAGGCGACAGAATATTAAACAGAAATAACAAGCTATACTTCACACAAGACAAAAATAGCTTTGGTTTGAAAAAAAAAATCACTCTAATGAACCTATTATGTTACACTTTGAATGATAGGTATGAAGAAACACACATTTTTGAAATCCAAAAGCAGATAATAAAGTCTTCTAAACTTTCAAATGCTAACAATGGACCAGACGCCAATTTACAAATGCATGAATACCATACTACGTGCTCTCGTGCCTATTCATACCTAATTCCAGATACAACATTACGAATGGAAGGCCAGTAAACATTTTTAAAGATCCACTCAATGATGCCCGAATGTAGTTAAGTCATTTATTGACAGCTACCTGGATATCATTAGGACAACCTGATTGCATAGGAGTGAAGTCTTAGAGCATGGCCTTTTACTACGATCTCATGAGCAGAAATTATCTAATTTTTCCCCCTATACAGATAAAGTTCTTCAATATATCTCAAATCATCTGCTCCACAGTGGAGAATATGTTTTAAAATGAAGACGGGTTCCATAAGAATTCATATCTCTGCTCTGTTAGGACAATCCTCCAGCATCAGACTACAGTTTTGAATATGTGCATTCTGCTCGTCTCCTCTCTATTCAACTTGACTATACTGGACTCTGGTTGACAATTGTTTAACCCCTTTGTTGTATGAGTTTCTGCAACTATTCACAGTAGATATATACCAAGCTTTGCTTGCTGTAACTGTTTGGCTTAGAGAAGTGGGGATGGCTGACTTCAAGTACCGTGATCTAAAATGAAGCAGCGGAAATCCATATGGGGATGAAAATACCATGAAAAGGCTCATGAGAAGCCTTTATCTCCCACATAACAGGGAGCATTACAAGGTACAGAGAAGCTTGTATTGTGAAAGTTTGTATCATAAACGTGAAACTCATCTACCTCAAGGACAACAATGTCAGTAATGAACTTGTGGATGCCCATCTTCAGCCCCACGATACAAGTTTAAACATGTCACCCTTTTGTCACAGAGCATAAAGCCAACCAGTCTGTCTTCTGAATGGCAATAGAACTGTGTAGACCAGAGGCTTGGTTTTCTAACTTCAGATAGATGACCGAATGACCTAACGGATGCCAGATAGCCACACACTGTAGATCTCAGATGACTTAAGGAAAAAATCTAGAAGAAAATTTCTAAAGTTCTAGCCATAGTGCTCTAGGTGGCAACCACAAGCCTTACAATTACAGCAAAAATTGCCCATGAAATCTCAGAAAGTTTCAAATTTCTAAAAATTCAATATAAAAAATGAATATATTTGCAAAATGCTGTTTTGCTGGGACAGGGCAGTTATGTCTGAATTCATTCTGCTGCTGTTTAGCTAAACCTGCAGTTTAGCTAAACATAACAGGCACGCTCATTTTTTCTCATATGATCGGATAAGCCCCCTGAGATTTGTTTTCACAACACTACTACAGATTTTCAGTGAGATTTCTTAGCAGGGCAAGCTTCCAGCCTCAACGTCATAATTTATCAGCTTTTTTTTTTTATTATTGTTTTCCCTGTCTACTGACGGCCCTGATATTACTCACCAGGCAAAACACCAAACCAAACCAAACATTAAACCCACAACTTTTCTTTAGTGTAAAGGGATGAAACTTTACAGCTAGCCTGGAATAATTCTTTCACTTTAGGACTTCTAGCAATTTGACATCTCCTACTGTCTTTCTAGGTTCAAATGTTTATAAAAACCAGCACTATCAAGAGCCACGTAATTTACCTGTTCCTATCTTCCCCCAAGCCCTAGGATTTTTTCCAATTAATTTAATTGAAATTCATAGCATCTCTTTGGTCTTGAGAAGAAAAACTGATATATGAAAATTTGATAAAAGTACTTCAGGTGGCTAAAAATATCAAACTATGATTATACAGAAAGGGGGCAATTTTTAATGCCAGTAGACAAAAAAAATATGCTGCTTCATGTTTTCAAGAGACACCTTCACTTTGACAATTCCCTTGATCCATACGAGAAGCTTGAAATGATACTGAACATTTTTCTATTACTATTATGAATCCAAAGAAACCATGAAATACAGAAAAGATATGGAAAGGATAAGCAGCCCTCAACAAGTCAAACCCTAGCCACGTAGCCCAGTAAATATAGTGGTGCACTGCTAACAGCAGGTCACAGACTTTGTGTTAAGCTAACAATACAGGCCACAGACTGTCCGTTTTTTTCTGGACTTGTTCTGGCAGTCCAGAGACTTATTTTAACTTGCAATGGTAAATATCTAATCACCAGCTAACTACTTACTACTTCATTTTAGCTTGGTACAACTGTGTGATGTAACACAGTCTTTTATATATGTAATCATGAATAAAAGACATCAATAACAACTAGCCCTTCTCCAAGACTGAGACCATTGACCATACAGGCACTGGAAGAGTGAGTGTACAGCAGAGAAAGGGGTAGACATTAGATGTTTGTCTTTATATCACTCTAGCACTACTTAATTTTAAATATTAGTACCACTGTAATTGGATAAATAATAATTCTTTGATTAGACTGTTAAGATTTTCTTTGGACTAACATTAAAGTCTTGGCTTTCATCTGTGGCATGCTCCTTTTACCCATACCAGTATTTTGAGCGTAACAGACTGGTGAGGATTCAGGCAACCTATTTCATAACTTGGATGCAACAAATTCTTACCAATATATTTTAGCAAAGTGGAAAAGGAAGAACACCTGAAGACAATAACAGCAGAGACACTATCACAATGACTTCATTACTTGAAGGGAACAAACTGAGAAATACCAGGTGTTTTTAATATTCTGAAGTCACAGACCTATTTTCCACATCTTACACACAATGATCCACAAACATTTTTTTATGAATCATTTATGGGTAACATATTCATTTTCAGATTTCCATGCGACAACTGCACAGAGAGCCCAACCTTTTCCTCTGAAGCAGTATTAACTTTCTTTTGAGAGCCACCACTGGATCTTATTTCTCTCAGCCTTCTGAAGTATGTGCAACCTTCTGTAGAAAGATTTTGGTCTGAACTTCTAAGAACACTGGTCACATCCAGGAAAGTGATTTAATTCTTCTATTGATTTCCAGACACACCACCAAATTCCAACGATCAGAGACCTTATAACCATTTATTTTCCTTATTGCAAAAACATTTTTATGTCATAATAATTCTTTCAGCAGTTCCAGACTGAGTTTTAACATACAGAAGTGAATCTTCTACAAAGCATGTAGTGTGCTACCTGAGAGACCAAGAAAACCCTGCGCGCTCGGCCAAAACACTAAGCAACCTGCTCTTGAGTCAGAAATTATAGCTATTAATGCACACAACTGCACACACAATGGAGATGCATGCATTCAGGCCTCAGC